GGAGGCAGACGCCGCTGGATTGAGGGACAGTTGCTGTCTCTCTTGGACTTGATTGCAAATCGTGTTACCCACCACGTCGTATTGAAGCAGAGCTACTACAGACTTCCAGAAATCCTCGAACTAGAGTTCTAATGTCTGACTTCAAGTAGGTCTTTTCGTTCCTACTTCCTGGCCAGGATGATATAGGTCTCCAGACCGATCGGTGTGCCCATACCGAGCCACTCATCAGCCAAGCGCTTGACGATCGCGAATCGCCTCGCCTTAAGTTCTTCGTCCTCGATGGGGTATACCTTCTGCTCATACTTGGCAAAGTCGTCGGCACTCCAAAGCTCCACCACACATTGGTACGGCCAAATTCTCACGTCCTTAAACCCGGCCGCGGCGAATCGCTTGCGTAGCGCTGGTAGGTCTTTCCCCAAGGCGAAGTAGGAGTGTTCACCAGCATTATCCTCAAAACCTAACTCCTTGTTCACTGTAGGGATAATAGTAAACATGCCGCTGCGATCCGGGGATCCCCAAATAGTGAAACCAGCAATACCATCAGCGGTCAGCACGCGACTCGCCTCACGGAGCATCGCATCTTTGTCCGGAGTGAGCTGCAGGCACAAACCGGCAATGTAGCGATCCACTGAACCAGTGACTACCTCGGTCAGATCTTGACCTGCGTGTCAAAAAAAACAATAAGTAAACTGCCTTAACTGAGAGTAGATATTGTTAACGTACCATTAGCTTCTTTGCATTTGATCTCGACAGCCTCGGTTCCAGCACCGCTCAAGTTCTTTGTAGCCAAGTCGACCATCACGGGCGACAAGTCTGTGACCGTGAACGTCCGTTTGGTGTGTTTAGGTAGCTTGGACCGACCATCTAGGAGATACTGGACGATATCAAGTGAGCCCAGCCCGCCTGCAGCGGCAACCTCAAGGACGTTCTGGGCACTGTCGAGCTTCATATGCGAGTGCAAATGTTGCGAGCACTGCAGTGTCATGCGCTTGTTCGCCGTCTCCGTGAAGCGCTCGGCGTATTCGTTCCAGTGATCCTTCACTATTTCGATGATGTTGGCCATGATTGCTGATTCGTAATGCGAGGCACTTGTCGATTTCGAAAGTGATAGCAGAGCACGAGGCTGGCTGGAGAAAGAAGTTCTGCCGGGCAGTCATTCATGGAAATGCGTGAAGATTGCGTGTGGCTTACATATCCCAAAGCCTCTAGACAGAGTCGTGACTTGTCAACGCGATTTCTTATCATCACGAACATCGTGGTGACATCAGACGACGTTCAATCGGCCGGAGACCGAAAAGACTCCGCGTCGTAAGTCAGTAGGATCGCGTGAACACTCATCTTAACAATAGATGATCATGTTTAGATGAGGATAAAAGCTCCTATCGGAAACAAAAATATACCCACACTGAAGGCCATGCAACCCCATGTTTAGAGGAGGATCATTTTGGTCTCGTGCCTACGGCTGCCTCCACTAACCACAAATCACTGAACCACGGAAAGAGTGCAGTAGTAGACTTCTACTAAATGATTACGTCCACCAGTAAGGAGCAGCCTAAGGCACTAACTGCGATGGCAGCATGCAGCATTTCAACAAGCGACAGGATAGAGATCTAAATACCTTGGTAAAATGCAGTCAAAATCAAGGATGTCGATCAACGGCCGGATTTTTTGGTCGGATGCTACTGCAGTGACGCTACAGTACATGCTTTCGACCCGGAGTCTTGTATCACGTTTAAAAAAATCTGACGTGTTATCTACTAGATATTTACGCAGTCCCCTATTTCAGCGTTCAAGTCGTGATAGAATGAGCGTTAAATCTATCATTGACCGGCGCTCAGTGTTGCTACTTCACTGCTGACATGCGTTGTGGTACAGGCAATATAGTTCTACTGTGCATGATATTTGTCACCTCGATGACGAACTTCCAGAACTTGAAGTGTGGTAACCTTGAACTTTCTCCTCGAGTCGAGGATCTCGACTGGACTACGGCCATGGGTACCATTCTCCTCTGATTCCTGAACATTTAGGCTCGACTACGGCCATGGGTACCATTCGCCGCAATCCTTTCTAGAATCTCGTGCGAATCCAAGCACGATGAATGCTCAACACAAGAGAATTCCCGCATTGTTGGGTGGATCTAGGTGCGCTTGTTGGACCTAAGACGGCAGTGCCGCAGCTCGTCACATTTTCGACAATACGTGGACCTTGCATACTAAACCCAAGAATAAAATGTTTTGTCGAAACCTATTATACTCCCATTTTGGAAAAGTTCATTCAACACGTAATCGTATCGATTCGGATTGATGAGACAGCACCGCACCGCGTGCCTTGAATGCTTATTGCCGCGCCTCCTGACCCCACGTTTGCCGACCGCCAATTCAACTCGCAACTCCGACGGAGTTTAACATGTCGACAACCTTAGGGCGGTGCCTGGTCGGGCAAAGGTAAATTCCACTCAATCGACAAATACTCACTTTCCAATTCAACACCTTCTCCTCACTTCGAACTCTTCATTCCGAAGATGCACTTTGCCGCTTCAAACTTCGTCCAGCGATCGGCTCTCAGTCCGCTTTACCGTCGCCAGGCCATGGGTTTGCTCAAGCGCCAACGGTTCGCTTCTACGGCATCAACCACGAACCAGCAGGCGATGGCTGCCGTGACGGCTGATGCCGGTAAGTTCAATCCAGAACCGACTGATGCAACCAACGAACCGGCCTACAAGGCTCACTTCAAGCAAACTCGAGTAACCACTAACGAGAGTGGCGAACCAATCTGGGAGAACCCGATCAACCACGCCGTCTATGATCTCAATCAGATCTCCACCATGGAACAGACCCACCACCCTATTACCAAAATGCACGAACGCGTTGCCTACCTGGCCGTCCAGGCACTTCGTACGGGGTTTGATATCATCTCGGGCTATCGTGGTCCGGGTGGTGCCATGACCGAGAAGGACTGGCTTAACCGCTGCCTGTTCCTCGAGTCCGTCGCCGGCGTGCCAGGTATGGTGGGCGGTATGCTGCGCCACCTCCGCTCGCTACGCAAGTTCAAACGCGACTACGGCTGGATCCACACGCTGCTGGAGGAAGCCGAGAACGAGCGCATGCACCTGCTCATCTTCATGAACATCAAGCAGCCGGGCTACTTGTTCCGTGGCTTGGTCTTGGGAGCCCAGGGCGTCTTCTTCAACGGTTTCTTCCTCACGTACTTGGTCTCCCCCAAGACGTGCCACCGATTCGTGGGTTATCTCGAAGAGGAGGCAGTCAAGACGTACACGTGTCTGCTCAAGGACATCGAGGACGGCCACCTGGACGCGTGGAAGGAGAAGAAGGCGCCGCTCATCGCACAGACGTACTACAAGCTACCGGAGGATGCGACCGTGTACGACATGATCAAGTGTGTGCGCGCGGACGAGTGCAACCACCGCGACGTGAACCACGAGTTCGCCAACCTGGACCAGAAGACTGGTGTCAGCCCCTTTGTCCATGGCCACCACTAAAGCTTTAGACTCCAACTGCATACGTTCTACTCATTGCTCAGTAGTTCTCGAAGCAGAAGAGATCTTGAATATACTTTACTGCATGTACTGTGCCTCGTCGCTTTAAGTCGCACAGAGAGAAAAACAGCACGGTCTCAGCTTGCGTACCATCGTCCGACCTCAAGTTGAATTGGTCGTCCTCTAGCGTCACTCTCGATTGTCCCTCATTTTATCCCATTACCTCATTCATTCTTGAATTTGACTTCAGCCCCGCAAAATGAATGCAGTCATCATGATGAGGACAATGCAGTCGCGGCTCCGTCGCCAAGCTCTTGGTGCCCTCAAATCCCGACTATTCTCGTTTCCTGCTCCAACTGCCCGTTTCTTTTCAACTGCGAAGTCATCGGATGGATCGAAGAAGGACAAGCACAAAACCAACTCAGAAGCTGTCGATGCTGCCAGTGAACCTGCCTACAAGGCGCATTTCCTCGAGTCTAAGGACGTCCACCCTCTTCATCCTACCACTGCAAGCGGTGATCCTGTGTGGGATAACCCGATAAGACATACCGTGTACGATCTGGAAAAGATCAGGTAGTGTAAATGTGCGGGGAAACGCTGAACAGCAAAGTCAGGCGGACGATGCTGGACACTCATCTCAACAATCTGTGAGCATGTTTAGATGAGCGATGACATGTACTCAGCTCATATCTATTTGGCTTGTATCCATACAGGAATGAAATGCACAAGAGCCAATTGCAACACATATTCCTCCTTTCATCATGAAAGCTTCATGGTGTTGCATTTCTCTCATAAATACAATACCTACGCTGAACATTTCCATCGAACTTCACGGGTAGTATTTCTTTGGTGGTAATAATATTTTTTACGTTTTTCTGCGAGCACCCCAAAAACTATGAGCTTCACGCTATCTTCGCCCAAAGTTATTGAGTTGCCTATTGCCCATTAAATAAGCTATCTCGAAACTAGCAACGTTTAACCCGCATTCAAGTTTAGCGATAGCACCACTACAACGGCATTGATCTCTACATACTTATATGCTTACAAATGTGACACATGCAGAGTGTGCCTGACCCCGGGGTCAGGCATATCCTGCATCGGCGGAACGTGCAGAGCCAGATCCTAGATTACGATCGGGTCTTTAGACACATCAGGGGTGTCAATCAGGAAGTAGGGACGAGAAAACTTTCTTGAAGTCAGATTGCAGTTTTTAGTGGTTTCTTGCATA